TTGATTAAACCTTTCCCCCCTTTATAAATAAAAAATTTCTACGTTACGAAGAATTTATCTTAAAGATCCCTCCGCATTTCTTGACGAATATTCACGTAATATTCACATAAGGAGGGGATGGTCAGGAAGTAAGGGGTAGGAGCTGCATCGTTACTATGGCAACCCCGGATACCCGGGACCAGAGCTAATAGTCGCAGCATGCATAGGGAATGGACAAAACGTCGCAATTCTTTAGAAAGTGATCTTTGACATGTTATCATCAGTAAGTTGTAGACGACATAAATTTGCAATGAAAATTTTTACATACATCCCTGATTTTTCTTGCTTAAATTTGATTATTCAGATTATTAGACTATTTATATATATTTATTTTTTAATTCTCAAATTTTTAAATTCTTAAATATTTAGATCTCAAAATTTTACAGCCCTTAAATATGTTTGTAAACACTTGAATGCTCAGACTTTTCAATCCCTGCATCTTTAGACTTCTTTTTGAATCTTTAGATATTTTTGCTCTTAGATCTTTAGATTCTTTCCATGTACATTGTATTAAATTATCATCGATTGCTTAAATAATAAGTAGCTCTCTTTAGGATTAATATCGCTTTTTAATAACGAATTTCTATCATTATTAACTAGTAATATAGTAATATAATATTTAATTCTTATAGTTAATTGACTTGTTAATAAATATTATGTTAATGAAAATAGTAAAAAAATAAAAATATTTAAAAAAATTGGAAATTATATTTATTTTATTGTTTGTATTTCTTTACTAGAAACTGTTGAATCATTTCCTTTTATAAAATATATCTTTTCTCTTTCAAAACAATTGAAGAAACAAACACAATGCAATTAATTGCATTTACCATAAGAAGTATCTTTGATCGAATCTTTTTATGGAACAAAACAATCTCACCCAGCACAGTAGAATCCATGGTTATCCTTTCACTCTTAGAAAAAATATGAAAAATGTATTCTCGCAATATCTTCTTCGAGCTCTTTTTTCAATCTTCCTCAATTATCTTCTTGAATGATTTGCACTATAAAGACAAAGACGTTCGTTAAAAATAATTATTAATTAATAAATTATTAATTAT